ATAAGGAACATACTTTATTTCATGTCTATTTTACCTTCTACACTAAGAAAAAAATACTTGTGCTGAGAAAGATCCATATAGTTTATCTCAGTAATGCCATACTCAACACAGTTTTAACTTATAGTATGTAATGTTTCTGAACCAAAAATGCCAAATGATTAGTGTTTTTATAAAGGGGTTTAGTTAGCATAGAAGATACAGATTTAAATTGTTACTGTGACTGCAGCGGTGGTCTATTCCCACCTTTTCAAGTTATAAAAATATTAACAGTACAGAAAATAAGTTTCATCTAAGGTGACACATCTCAGTGCGTGAACATTTAGTCAGTGCTGTGTTGCCAGTTTAAATACATCTGTCTAAAATATATCCACATTATCAACAGGTTAGTTTGTTGGACTTCAATGTGTTGGTAGAAATCTTGTTTTATAAGTGTTCGCCTTTGTTTTAAAAGTTCACATTTGTTAGATTTGCAGGGTGACACTGGCAGATATTTGTACTTTGTTGTCCCTATACTGTATACAATAAATATAGTTTGATACTCTGCCTCTTGATTTATATGAGTGGATGTTACATATATGCTGAGCTACACGATGCAGAAAATTTTTTTTGGAAATATTCACATCCTGGGTGTAACCAAACGTGGCCATCAGCCTCTGTTAAAGGGAGCACTACTACTTTCTGTCCTTCTTTGTGGTAATTGTCTAGTATAACCGAAGGTGCTGCTCCCTGATTTGTGTTATTGTGTAAATGAAGCAGCTTTGTATCTGATTTTTGTAGTTGGTGGAATTAACAGTGTAGAGATTAGAGAAAGTGTCTAGTCTGACCCAAATTGGCTGTTACATTTTACAGACAGTAGAGGGAGTAGTTGTTCCGATGATTCAGAGGACCACTGTTTATTCTGCTAAATCCCCTTTGTTGGTTGAATCCCTGAGTTCTTCTGCCCCTAAATAACAATACAATAACACATTTGTTGCTCAGTTCCAGCCTTGTGAAGGGCACAACTTTAATGAGCTTCCTCTTCTTTAAGAGAACTTCATTTCACAGATGTTTCAAAACTGAGCGGCCAAATGAACTCCCTGTGAGGATCCTCGAACAGTGGTCTGATTGTTCTGCGTCTATTTTTGGCACCTCCTTTACATTTTATATTTCCTTGTGGAGATATTTGAAGATATTTCCCCTGACCTCTCAGAGATGCAGCTGCAAGGTGTTCCCTCCACCCAGGGCTGTGCACAGACATTTTGTTGGGCAGGTGCTCAAGTAAAAAAAAAAAAAAAAGGCACCCCCTTGCGAACAATTATTTATTTTTAAATAAAGCTTATAAATTGTAAGCATGATCACAATGAAAATAAAATAAAAAAGCCTGCCCTGCGAAAAGGAAACTTGTCAACTCAGAGGGTAAAGGGGCAGATATTTGATCATCTCCTAGGGTTTATCTGTGTACGTTCCTGCCTCCATCCCTATATTCATTGTGCCTCTTATTTCCAACGCACAACCTCTTGTGTTTGGAGGAATGTAGCACTCTAGAAGCCAAGTTTTCTCAGACTGATCAAATTGAGAAAAATATTTTTGCTTGTGAGACTGATCAAATGTGTGGGTCTGAAATGAACCTTTGTGTAACGAACTGAGCTCATTCGGTGGCATATCAGTGAATGTATGAAGCAAATGTGTGTTAACATTCCTTAATTCACGATCTATTGAGTATGAGCTAATCACAGAGAGCTGTAGCTGATCATCTGTTAATGGTGAGTAACAGGAACTCATGACACATTTGGCGATAATTCATGCATCAATTCATCATTAGTCATGTAGGTAAACATTACTTAGGCATAATGATCTGTACCCTAAGTATAATGTGTTACTACAAAAGTTTATTATAATTTATCTTTCAGGTACTTTTTCTCTGAAACCATGTGAAGAATGACTGAAGATGAAACTGCTGAAAAACCACACTGTGCAGTAGAACATTCACATTAACAAGAACAATTCCTGTCCATTTGTTCTAAGTGTTATTGCTGCTGTGTCAGAGACACTAGTGAGGCAGCACCCTCACTAGTTTTGTTCACTGCAGTTGATGGAAAGAGCCATTGTATTATTGGCATTGTTTTAAAGCTTTGTCTAGATCATGTCATGTGCTGCTCTGCTGTCAGTGTACAGTAAGCGCCATTTGCTTATTATTGTGACAGGATGATAAATGGATTTACCCCCCCCCCCCCCCCCCACACACACATATTAAACATAAACATCAATTATTAACATTCATCTAGTTATTTGATCTTTATATACTATGGTTAATGGTTAAACAACATTTTTAGTATGTATGGTAATGATTGTATGAGTCTCTGGCATCCTCATTGTGTCCAGCTAGCTAACCTCAGATGTGACAGGCTCTCCTTTTGAATCAGTCCTGAATGAAACCAATGTACATCTGGAGAACCTCTGGATCCTCTCCAGACCTCCACATGCTGATGTCACCCTGGTCTCCACCCTGTCAATAGATCAGCTTTCAGTGTTGAAAATGTTGAAGGGGAATAAATAAGTCTGACTGTGTTTATTGTACATTTGTTGTTTTGCATTGATTCTTTTTAATAACAGTGAAAAAAAGTAGTGGGAGCACTGGCCAGTAGGCCGTTTGGGGGTTTTGGATCATTTTGAGTGATCACTAAGGAATAATTCTCCAAAAATGTTAAATGAGCTGCTGCGAAAAATACACCATCTGAGTTTATATATTGATAATGATGAACCAATTATTAACATTGTGATCAAGAAAATTGCTTAAAATTTCTCTCTGCTTTAGGTTAATGATACTACAGGCCTAAAACTTGGTTTAGTGACATTTTCTGAGCAGCTTGAATGGTCCACCAGTAGCCTACATGAAAAGCAACAAATGAACTCTTGGATTTTTGTTCTGAATTTTGTTTATATAACTACACGTAGACCTATAACCAGAAGAAAGACACTAACACATTTATTTCTGTTATCACCCCACAGGCCACCACTCAGGGGTCCTTGAAGAGGGTCGCCACATGGAACCGAGGTTGTTTTCTTTCACGGTGGACTCAAAGTACCACAATGCAACGCAGACAATATCATTCCCTCAACTACGGTTTCAGGAGCTACGCCCCAAGAAATGGAAGGCTTGCCCCCCGAATGGGCTCTTTGTAGGGAGACATGAGAGTATGTGCAGCCGCAGTGTGTGCGCGTGCATGTCGAGGACCCCTCCTCCTTACCTAGCTAGTCAGCAGTGGAGGGATTAGGACGGCTAGCATTGCTCGCTTACTACAAATAAACAGACGGGGAGGGGGGGGAGATTGCAACAAGCGTGAATCATGCCCGTTCGTCATTACTGTCGACTGGGAGTGGAGCCGAAATTGTGCAAGATACGGATAACAGCCAAGAAAGGTCCGCGTGGATCGAGTCAAGTTTCCACGTCTCCTCTGCCGTGAAAATGCCTCACCGGGGGCTCTCCTACTACTACTACTACTGCTGCTGCTTGGACCCGTCGTATTATGTTGCCTCATTCACATGTGCTTTATCCTGAAGAACTGTCCAGGACCAGCAGGATAGACCTGTAAGGAGCCTCCGAGGGCGACCGAGCAAACCAAAGGCTGAGCGGAATTTTCTAGTTCTCCCCGAGCGGAGATTTTCTCAAGCGGACGTGGGGAAAAGTTGCTACTTGTTGGTCAGAAAGGAAACATGGGGAACGCAGGGAGCATGGACCAGCGCAGTGATCACAGAGGACACAACATGCCTCTGAAACTGCCCATGCCAGAACCAAGCGAACTGGAGGAAAGATTTGCACTCGTTTTGGTAAGAGGAAAAACATTTAAATGGCCTTTTCTTTGTTCTTTTCATGCTCCAGTGTCCTGGGACGGGACAGCTGTGTGTAGGTTGGACCTGTGTTTGTCCACCACGCTTGGTCCTTTCTTTGTTGCTCAGAAAAAAAAGATGTATTTCGACCAAAAAGGGGGTTTGCTTCAATGTGTCAGATGTAATATTTGCATCTCATCTGTTTCTCTGCTGTCATGTTTCAGTGTTTGGCAAAATTTTTTTTTTGATTGACTTTTCTTTTTTTAATCCTTAAGTAACAATGAAATCTTATCGTGATTTGAGTATATTGAGTTGAGGAGCTGCACAAATCAGTCTTGACTCAACAAGTTTCCCATTAAAGTATTTAAACCTAAAAAATATCCACCAGCCTTTTGCCACACCATGTTGAAATACATCATCAATCTCACTTCTGCTCCCTTGACTATAAATAACAACAACATAAATAATTGTACACTAGGCTTCTGGCTTAGCAGCCTTAATGCAGTTTCCTGAGTGTGGTCGCAAGAGACACCTGCAGTCATAGCACGGTGATTTATTGGTTTTATGCCTGTCTTTTTCAACTTTATGAGCCCAGGAGCTGGTTCACCACTTGAAGTGCCCAGCACACGCCAAGTCCTTTGAAACATCTGTCACATCATAAAGTGTCAACAGCATCTGTCAACAACTGTGTTACCTGGGGGTGAACGCTGCTCATGGCTGCTGTTGTTGAAAGGTCCTCCAGACTCTACCGTGCTGACAGGTTAACTAGTAGTATAGAAATGGACACTGCTTTTCTGAGTGAGAACACTTTTGACATGTCACAGAAACTTCCATCACCGCTATGTTGACTGATCTGAGGGTAATTACTAGCTTTGTAAGTAGTACAGGCTTAGGCGCTGTTCAGCATATCCTCTTGTACCATAAAGCATTGCTGCGTGTATATAGGCCAGTGTTATAAATAACAGCTGGGGTTTGCTGATCAGGAGAATTTCCAGTGAGCTGCACAGAGGAACAGTAAAGTTAGGGTGAAATTTGAGAGCTGGCAAAATGTGGGTCAAACGTGATCGTCGTCTGACGTAGAACTCTCATAAACATTAACTGCTCAAGAGAAAGAATATGATTTGAGCAAACTGGCTCTTACAGCTGTGTGATTGTAAACTTATCTTTGAGATAAAAGCATTTTCTGTCACCAAGCATTAATGTTGGTGCAGGTCCTTTAGCCTGTAAGCCCATTACAAAAAGCAAATCCAGTTGAGGTGGAAGTCGAGTCATTGTGGTACAGTGTTGTACTGGGGCGTATGACTGCTGCTTGGCAGACTGATGAATCTTATTCTGCGCTGCCCACAACAGACTTTAGTGTGAGGGAGGTTTGACGTCACACCGCTGAGGGATTTTGGGCTTTCATCTTAATCATGTCCTGTTAGAGGAGTCACCTACTTCTTGAAGCATCAAGGGTTTTCCCTCTTCAGAGAGATTCTGCATGGTGAATGGCAGGGATCAGAAAATGATCAGGACCTATAGGTTTTGGTTTACAAAAGTAATCTAATTATGCTTTCCAGAAAAAAAAAAATCTTACCTGCCTAAGTAAAGGATTTTGTGGGCTGGCTCTCAGAAAAGCTGATCCTCTCCCGCTCTCTGCTGCCAGCACTATGCCTCAGCTCTTGGCGGGTTGGAAGCCATCCAGCATTAGAAGAATTTAGTGCTGGAACCACAGCATTAAGTGTTGTCTACTTCCATTTAGACCCTAATGTGCCTCAGCCGTGTCGGATGGTAGTTGGCTCAGTAATTGCCGGAGTCAGTGGCACTGTGTGACTCTGATAACTCCACTTTAGTTTGAATAGCAGATGATTAAGATGATACTATCCCACATATCAGTGGTCACCAGGAGTGATTGATAAAGGTGTAAGTGTACTTTGTTCTGATTGCTTTAACTGACTCATTTCATTATCATTTCTGATATTGTCTGCCAACAATAAGCATTAACCCTTGAGTTTCTTATTAAGGACACACCAGACACAAATTTGCGTGCGTGTCGTGTGATGTCACCATGCCTCCTTTCAAACACTGACTCATGATTTTCACATCCAATCAGACCACGTGTGTGTGTGTGTGTGTAGCCACATGTATAAGAAATTAATACATGGAGTATAGAGTAATGAGTATAGAGTGTACCCATTAAATACCCAGGAAAAGATGATGTCAGACATCTGGTCTGATGATCCTTTACGTTGTTACTGTGCCAGTTTTGATACCAGTACCAAAACAGTACCTTACGCTGAGGAGTTTAAGCAATGTTTCCTCAGATGCACTAACACAAGCAGCCACATGTTAGGTACTTTCTTAGTTAGATAGATATTGATTAACACACAAGAACTTTGCATGAAGTAAACATGAAGAATTTGGTTTAACATTAACAGTCAGTGAGTGGTTCATCATCAACAATTTCTGAAATACAGTTTTCCATAATAAAAACCAACTAACCGCTGATATGATAAAGTGTTCACCATAAAATTCATGTACATTTTGAATTAAAGAACAGGCAAATTAAACACAAAGTTACTTTTGTTACAGAGGAAACAACATGAAATAATGACTTAGTTTAAAACTCTTGTCTATCGCTTATCAATGATTGACCAGACACACTCCAAAGTTTTCACTTGAATTACAGACAGTATTTCAAGCTAGACTTGTCAGTCCAAGTTAGTGTTGAAATTTAAAATTCATTAAAAATCTATTAACTCAAATATAGTATACATTTCATAATTATGTGAACTGAACATTTTAACTGGCTTCAACCCCTTAAAAGTGGTAGAAAGGTAAATTGTATCACCATCAGTATTTTCAGTTTGTTTGTTTACTAGTCATGTGTGTGTGTGTTCAGTGGCTGTAGACCACATTATGAAAAAAAAAGTATATTCTGCGGAGTTGGTAGTTTTTTACTACATACATAAAAAGCTCCCACTGAATCATGAATCACTGGAGCTAAGGACCGATCTCTGAAATACACTTGGGGCTATTTGTAATACAAGGCCTCTGCCGTGATGAGACAGGTTAATTCACATGTGACCCTGGCCATGAGGAAGAGGGCTGTAGTTTGAACCTAAATATTCATTGTTTAAAGTACTGAATGGGGGTACACGGTCATACAGGTGTAAAAGGGAATTCATTCACTTTTTTCAATATTCATTTTCTGTACATCTTTGGATGTTTTGTTGAGAATGTTACTGGCTGTAGTTTTCATTCTCCCATGCGGCATTTGAGGCAAAATGGCTCGGTACTTACTCTGGGATGCATTTTTGTGAGCCCGTACCCCTCTTGTGGTTGCCATAGTATTAACAACATGCAGTAAGTCTACAAGATAGGTTGCGCATGAAGATGAGCTAGTATTGGGGGAGCCCTCTTGATATTTAGTCTGCGCAGCACAATGCTGATATCCTAGTGGATCTGCTTTAGGGGTGCTCATGTCAGCATCCCGGTAGATCAATTTCCTGTGCACTTACTGCCTAATCAATGCAACATTGTCATTTAGCCAACCATTAGAGGGTGTGAGTAAAGCTTTAAAGTGGCATTTTTGTCTGTCCGTCGTTAAGTGCACACTGGCTGAAAGCATGTGATACGACTACAGTCAATCTCTGTGAGTCTTATGTAGAGTATGAGCTGGTCTGTTTGCTTCACACTGAACCACAGGAACATTTCTCAGCTAACACCATAGCTGACATCAAATTATACTGCACCCACATCCAGGATATCATCTACTTCAATCCTTGGGCCATAGTGATTGTTAGAGAAGTTTACAGCCATTACTTGTTGAAATGCCATATGGAGGACTATAGGCTTAGCTGTAATTTTATCTGTTCTTCTCAATAGTCTGCCCAGATTACATCTAAGCTGCTTTGTTTAAGGGCTGCTGGAGCGCAGTGAGCTGCTGTGCCGTGAGGCGCTGCATCTGAAATCTGCTCAGATTAATCACACGAGTAGCCTTCATGTTCCGCTGAAGTCTAATTTGTCACATTGACAGGTAAGCCAGGTTACATTAGCCAAAGAAGCTAATTAGCTGAGGTTACCTGAATAATATGTTAAAAATATAAGTTAGGATTCCCTTTTAATAGTTTAAACGCCCTTAAAGAAGCCCCTAAGATGTCTAAAACTCTAGGGGAAACCATGTCATGAGAAAGTGATCGCTCATAGTCACAAACCCACAGTGAATTATTAGCCAAGTCTGCATTTCCTCTGAGACTGAAAGAACTTTTTAGCATCTTGTAGCTAAATGTTTGGGTTTTACAGCATGCAATTTTCAGTCAGTCTCACCATTCTCGTTAACCTAGTTCTCAGCAGCATGCGCTTGTTTTCAGCGTTTAAACACTGACAGACCCACTGTACACTGCCTACCCAGCACCGAACGGCAGACGGACCAGTTTAGTAACTAGGTGGTGAACACAGTGGAGTCACAACAGCTATTAGCAAAGTGATTATTGGAATTACATGGCTTTCCAGTCACATCATTTCAACTTTATTGAAAGCCAATGGGAGATTTTATACTGACAGCACTGTCTGCAACTGTCTTTAAAACAAAGTGTGATAATATCTTTTGGAGACCCTGTGCTAAGTTGAGCTGAAGCTGTGATTACTCTTTCCTGGTGTTAGCTACTGTTAAACCCTTGTGTAAAGACATGGACTTTAACTTTTATAGTCCTGCATGGGACCCAGGATGTGACTAAGCTAGCCCTCCTGGTTTTGCCATCTCAACTCTTCTTCATTAAAAAGCTGAACAATGGGTATTGTCTGAGCAGCAGAGGGTGAACACTGGCTGAATCCTGTGCAGCAGGCCTGCAGAACAGAGCCACTCTTTATTCTGTGGAGAGCCCAAGACGAAGCCTGGCACTGGACCCAGACCCAGCAGGCTGCGAGAGACCATCACACATACCCAAATGTATGTGTGTGTGTGTGTGTGTGTGTGTGTGTGTGTGTGTGTGCGCACATGCTTGTGTAAGTGCATGTGT